CTTATCATAAAACCCAGAAACCACATCTCCCAAATCGAGCAGGGAAGGTGGAACAAAATGGCCGATGATTATTGCAAAAAGGAACAAGATTGGCTCAACAGGCACAGTCAAACAAAAATGGGCAAGAACAGGTGTGTGTGTGGTTTTTCGTGGCCTCCATACTCTCAGAGAGTGAAGATGTTGCTAATATTGACCTCCCACTTTAGCGTCAGCTACAACCCCATCAACTTGGAATATCACAAAAACAGCGACGGCGTTAAACTCAGCCAAGATGATGCGAATGCCCTGGTAACTGCACTTCATTTGAACGCAACTCTCCTCAAACGCAACGCGTGGTTTACAAAAAATAACCCCAATTCACGCAGTACCGAACCTCCATGAGAGCAGCACACCTGTACCTCAAAAACAACACATTCGATCCACTCAGATGCCAAGACATTCCGCGCAGACTCGTGATTGATCCCAATCAAGGCGCTAAACCATCCACCACCAACCCCACCGCATCATCGGACATGAAGGGCCAAGATTCTGCGGAACTCGACGTTCCAAGAAGATTGGCCCAAATTGCGGCCCAACGCGCGCATGTTGTCAAAACAAAGCTCAAAGACAATGCAGAGAAAGTGTTGATGGTTGAAATGGCTCGGACCGTGAATGGAAACATGAAAATTGCTGCAGCGGGAACGGCGAGGTCCGTGTCGGTTGTGGACGCGAAGAGAGAGCCGGGAACAATTGTGGTAGAGATCGATGGGAATGGGAAACAGCAGCATTCTTGGACCAGGCACATTTGAATACCAATAAAGTTTTTTGCAAAAGAACGCGAACCGAAAGAGGGAAAAACTTTCAAAATCACAGCCCGATCGACATCAACACAATCTTTTCCTTCTTCTTCTTTTTCCCCCCTTGTTGCTGCCCACCGCCGACCGAACTTCCCGACTCCGATCCATTCCAATCACTCACAGTGGGCGTCGCCTTCTTCTGGTATGGAGCAACCGTCACCGGTCGAGACGGAAGCCCAGGGTATTCCTGCGGTCTGGCCGCAGGAGCCGCAGAGCTCCCCGAACCTCCACCACCTCCACCACCCCACAACACGGCTTCCTGTTTTTGAGACGCTGTCGGCTCCTGCGACTCCACCACCGCCGAAGCATCTGACGTTGACGACAAAGGCGACGACACACCGTCGCGGAACTGGTTGCTCGACCCTCCTCTTGCCTTGCTGGAGTCTTCGAGCGACGAAACGAAGCCTTTGCCTTTGGACATGGCGTTCCACATGGGAGTGTTGGCGCGCTGGTTCGCTGCCTTTGATTTGATCACGAGGACACGGGCGCCGGAAGCGGAAGTTAGTGGGGGTTGGAAGGGCTGCTTGGTGGGAGAGGGGCGGGGAGCCGCGACAGGAGCGGGGAAGTTGCTGGGAGACAGAACGCGCGGAATCGGCGACGAGACGCGGTGAACGGGGTTCGCATAAGAGCTTGCGTTGTATGGATTCGAATAATCGTGGTCGTTCTGTTGTGGTGTGATTTCGCTCAGTTTTTCGCATTCAACGGCAAGAAAAAAAGGCCATACCTTGGCACGATAATCGTTCCAAACTCTCAGCATCTCCGACTGCTTGATTTGTTGCGAGCTCTTTCCCATCTTCGGATACAATTCGGCCTTCGCGTCCGGTATACTGTCCGCTAATGACTTCCAAACCCTTCCCGCTTTGATAAGCATGTCTTTTCGGGCAGAATCGCTGGCACCAGGCTTCCCATCAAACACAAGTCCAACAAAAAATCCAAGAAACTCGTCGCATGTCGTGACGTCGTTCCGGTACATTTTCGCAATGGATTTCAGCTCGTCCAGCTTCCTCTTGTCGCTCTGGAACAGTTCACGCAGAATGGCGAGAGTGGTGGGGTCCATCATTCCGGCAGAAGGAGCTGCGACATTGGAGGCGACATTGGAGGCTACAGCGCTACTAGTGCTTCCTCCAGCAGACGGGAGGGATCCTGCGCGTTGCGGGGGAGGGAAGTTGTTGTCGGAACGAATGTCGAATCCTTGAGCGACGGAATGAGCGTATCGAGATCCAGCGATACCGACAACCGTCGAAAGCCTCGTGTCGGACGCCGATCTGGAGGAGGAGTCGAGGTTCGTCGCTTCGGCGGGAGTGGGAGCAATGTCCGGCGTCAGCTGGCCAAACCCAGTCGGAGGTCGCATCCCGCTTCGACTTCCACTTCCACCAAACTGCTCTGACATATCTCCCGCGTCCCTTCCGCCATCACGACCACCATCACGACCACCATCACGACCACCATCACGACCACCATCACGACGATTGTTCTTTCCGCGCCCACCGTTCCTGCCACTGCTACCACCGGCGTAACTGTTCAGGTCAATCGAGGGACTGCCCGCAATGTGGAAATTGATGTCAATTTTTTGGCCCTTTCCACGTGCCGTCTTGCGAGTTGGGTGCATCGTCATCTCGTGGGCCTTCAAATCAATGTCCGACGCAAACACTTGGAACTTCATTTCCAAACACTCGGGCTCGAGACAACAGAAGTGCTCCTTTTTGTAGTGTTGTTCCTGAATTCGGTATACAAAACGTCGGTTAGAGTCTTGAAATGTCACTGCAGGAATCCAAGCAGGCTTCCTACCAAACGATCGTAGTTTTCGTAGTATTGGTGCCTGATGCCGTCGCTCTTGCACAGGAAACAATCCTCGTGCTGCTTCTTGCAATGCTCATACAGCTCGTCGTCTCCATAAAAGTGCATGTTGCAGAATCCGCATTTGGGGTGCCCTTTGAAGGAATGTTCCTCGTCGCCAGTTTTGAAATGCCGGTCCAGCTCGGCTTGTGTGTACATGACGTGCTCGTGCGTGAATAACTTTTTGTGTCTCGTGCAAAGATCGCTGTGGCAAAATTTAGATTCTGAAGGAGATATCGGCGGTTGAGTCACTTACCATAAATACTTGTTGTGGGCTTGGCGAACGTGCTTCTTGAGCTCAGGCCACCCGGAAGGACACGACACATCGCATTTGGGGTCCGGGCAGTTGAATCTGAGCAGGATCATGCAGTCGTCGTACGCCGTCTCCGAGTCAAAGTGGATACGGAGTTTTTTGTCGACCTTGATCAAACTTTTAAGCTCAAAGTCCTGGAACGGTTTCTCGCCATCTCCGGTGAAGACCACGTCCTTGAGTTCCGTCTGCATGATGGGGGAGTGTTAGGGAGGGTGCGCTGCGAATAGAGCGAAATACCTTGCACATGGAGCAGTTGCCGTCCTTCAGCAGGGCGCGGAGCCTCAGCGAGCACAGGTGACACACCCTGTGGTTGCATTCGCCCACGGCATACCAGGTGATGGGGTCCGTGCAGATGAAGCAGTGGTCTGAAGTCAAGGGGGTGAGCAGCAACCAAGGGGGCAAAAAGCAAAACAAGCCGAACCATCATGGCTGTGGACGTGCCCGCTCTTCTTGGCCTCTGCAGCAGCCCTGCAGCAAAGGGGGTTAAATCAATTCGACCTTCACAATCAATGCTCACTTGACAGCGGCGGGGTGAGGTGCCAGTGCCCGCATTGGCGTTTGGTTGAGCTGCAGCGAGTCGGACGGGCCAGTAGGTGTGGGCTTGGAGGACATGGCCGCCTGAGAGAGCGGCACAAACTTCTTCTTGTTCTGCTTGGGAGGCATGGTTGATCTTTTGGTGGGAGGAGTGGGTCTTAAGTCGGAGGTTTTTCAAAAAAAAAAATCCTTTTTACTTCGCGGTTGCTTTGAGGAGGGCGACGTCCTTTCCAAAATGCGTCATGAGAATTCGCTGGCCAAGAAAGATTTATCATAGGTTTCTATAGAAGCACGTATAAAAGGGACTGACAAGAACAAAAAAAAAGTCAATTTGAAAATCCAATGGACGTTGCCCTCTCCGAAGGCGATATCGCGAACCTGCTAGCGTGGATCGATGAAATTCCCATTTCAAAGCCGAAAAAGAACATCACGCGAGACTTCAGCGATGGAGGTGACTATGGATTCGCTTGACGACGCGATCGTACCGGAATAACAAACCCCCTCCCCCAAGTCGCAACGGCGGAAGTCGTGAATCACTTCTGCCCCAAACTCGTTGAATTATTCATGTATTCTCCCGCAAACGCAGTCAGCCAAAAGATGTACAACTGGAACACGCTCAATCGTAAAAAATACGCCGTTTTGTTTGTTTGAGGTTGTGATCGAAAACTTGGCTCACTCCCCCACTTCAGAAAAAGTGTTCAGAAAGCTGGGATACCTTGCACAGCCAGACCTGATTTCGTGTGTTGTGGCCAACAAACCGGGATATATCGAATACCTTCTTTTCGAGTTGCGTCACAAGGTGCGCCACCAACCTCGTTTCGGACCATTGTTTCGAGCTCAATATCAATTCCACTACTTGTTTTGAACTGATCCAGATCGATGCCTATCTTGGAAGAAGGCCCGACCAAGATTCAGACGCGTTCAGCGATCACCAATATGTGACACCTTTCAACCCGCAACAGCAACACCAAGTTTTGCCAGGAATCTCTGGAGCCGCAGAGGGTGCGCACGGAACGTTTGGAGGGGACACAGTTCCTGGGAGAAGAAGTGTCGTTCCCGGCCATGCGGGCGCAAACACGCACGAAAAGGATTTCATGATTCACGAGCTGCAGCAAACTATTCAGGTATATATACTTTTTCGGATCACTCGATAGATAATTTCCAACAATGTGGCATTTGAATCAACAGATGTTGCAGTTGAAGGTCACAAAACTGGAGCAACTCTTGATTGTGAGTTGATATTCAATGAGAGATTCCACCGCCTCTAATTATTTAATGTTTTAGCTGAAAGATAGACGCATTGATGACCTGCAAAGAAAATAATGCGATTGAATAGAAAATGAAATAAAAAATTTGCTTTAAGATTGACAATGAAATTTGTCTCCACTATAATGCAAAACGCTTCGGCTTTTAGAGACCGCGGTCGGTAGTATGTGGGATCTTTTGGTGTATATCATCCAAGAACAACTTGTTTGCAACAAGGATCAGTGGCCGAGTGGTCTAAGGCGGAGGACTTAAGACCCTCTATCGAAAGATGCGCGAGTTCGAACCTCGCCTGATCCATTTTTCGTTTCCAAAATATTTTGTGAAGGATGCAACGGGATTGCAACAGGATCGCAACGGGGATGCCAGGAGCCGATTGCGGAGGGAGGGCGGAGGGGTTTCGCAGCCTCGCCCGTCACGCCTGAAACCTTTCTTCGGATTTTTCTCCATGCCCACCGCTGTCAACCATTATTTTTAGACCACAGGAAACTGGGTAATTGCTGGAACCTCTCTCATCCTCGTAGAACACAACACCTAAGGCTTTAGATCGCTTTCCATCCCCTGCCAAGGCTGCCGCGGCTCCGGAACCACATTCCTCATGTTTGCAAAATGTCAACCTGGTTGGAAAGGAAAACCAAGGCATGCAAAAGAAGAACTTTTGGAATAGAGCAAATAATATTTCGAGACAAGAGAACGATACCGAGTGTGGTGTTTTGACTGATGCTGATATCCGTTGCTTCCAGAATTGCGTCAGGCTCCAGAATTACGTCGGGCTCCAGAAAAAGCTGGTACTCATTTTTGAAAGGGAAAGTGTATATATTCTCATTAAAGAAATAAAAAAACAAAAAAAAACAAGACACTTTCACGTTTCAATTTGTTTTTTATTCAATTTGCAAAAGAAAGGAATTCAACAATGATCGACAAAAGGATGCACACCTCCGCCGAAGCGGCCCCACTGACATACACGGCCCCACCAACGGCGAAATAATGGTCTCAACTTGGGGATGGAATCTGAATTTTTTGTGATAGTGTGTGTGTGTGTGTGCATGTGTGTGTGTATGGTCTGGGCTTGTCGGCGCGAAAGTTCTATATGCGAGTAAGCCACGGCGAATCGTTTAGAAAAATCAAAGAAAAAACTCACCCCCGGCTTGGGATCATGGACAAAACCTGGAACCGGCATGTTGCGACCGTCATGATTCAAGACTTCTTCGAGATTCGACGAATAACGGATTGATGATTCGAGATTTGACGTGAGGTGGTTGATGATTCGGATCGATACACTCCTGCGTAATATATTCCATACGCGTGGGTCTCTCCTCACTGTATTTCCAGGCAGGACTGTACCCCTCACAGCCAGCAGGGGCCATAAACCCCCGTGCCGCCTTGACCATTCCATCGCGAAGTGATGGACAACAACGCGTGCGCTGGCATCCCCCTTGCGAGGGCGCCCACGTGAAAAGAAATGGCATTGAGGCGCCTCTCCCCCTCCATCGGATGATCGGGCCCCTGGGGATCAACGAGTATACATTGTGCGCCCAATGTGTTTCGCGAACCACGGACAAGGTCGGATATAATCGGAAGGTCGGCGAGGGAGGGGGAGGTGAGGGCGAAGGCGAGGGCGCGTTGGAGCACTTGTGAAGGATCGCTGAGTCGGGAAGCAAGGTCTGATATATTCTGAAGGACGATTGGAGAATTCGTAAATGAACATGGTGCGTATTTGCTGATTCCTCACTCTGTAGCATCGACTTGGTTCGGAAGGAGGTGTGAGGGGAAGTGCCAGTAGGTGTTGGCGAGATGGCGCGTGGATGGCAGATGTGTGGCCGTTAGACTTGCTCCGACTGAGGCATATGCGCGTTGAAGTGCCGGTAGACTTTGGCGAGATGGCGCGAGGATGGCAGATGGCGTGGGCGAGGATCCGCGTGGTTGTTGACTGAGACAGTTGTTTCTTGTGCCCCAGTGCCAGAGATGCTTGCCGTGATCTGTGTGTGGGAGAATGGTTGAACATTAGAATTGATAGTTTGACGCTTGTGGGTGGGGAAGGGAAACCGACAATTTCACAATATTTGGGAATTTGAAAATATCGCGTAACTTTTTAACTAATCAAAAAAGGGGGTTTCTGGGACAGAGAAGATGCGCGTTTCGCTTCTTCTTTCAAACTCCGACAATCTTCTCGCAACGAAAATAAAGAAGCCATCACACCATTCCCACTTCATCGCTTCCATGTAAATAAAAACGCGATTCCGCGTCGAACCGTGGTACTCTCATAATTGTAGCTCGCTCGGTGATCGAGACATTTTGAGCGCGTTGGGTCGAGTTTCTGCAACATCGTCGTGCAGCACCGCCACCAATATATGTTGTAGGCGGGTAAACCAGATCCGCAATCCGATCCCGATTTGGACGTGATTTGAGGGAGATATCGTCGTTCGACAGATCCCAACAACAAAACGAATCAACTTCGCACCGCAGAGTGGCGATCGCGTTCAAACTCGCCTCAGAGTTTCCAAGTAATAAGAATAAGCTGTCGGGAAGGCGAGGCGGCTGTCCAAGGACGTTTCAAACCTTGTGACCGCGTGTCGCGAGCACGTTCAATGTATTTCGTGATGAGGGCACGCGTGATGGTGGAGACCGCGTCAGATTATCAATATTGTATTCAATATATCGGCGCTCCACTGATGTGGGTGTGGAGAACGGTGCGGTCAAATGGTTGGATTGTCAAGACACGAACGGGCCGCCACGAGTCACCTCCCGCGGCGCACGCGACACCCTCTCGTATTTCGAAAGGAATCATAAACTTCTCTGAATTCCACAATGCCCAGAATGGTCGATTTTACGTGATTTGGACTGGGGGTTGAGAAACCCCCCCCCCCCCTTGACAACGGCTATGAACCATACCGGAGGAGCCCAATGATGATGGCCCCAGGAATCAAGTAAATAATATTGGAGTTTAACCCTTTAACCACAGATTCGATTTAATCTTTCGATACCCTCGTTTTCCCCAATCAGAGCATATTCCATTCACCACTTTTCCAACAGCACGTGCTAGTTGAATTCTTAATAGTACGGTGAATATAATCAGGGATCCATGATGATTTTACCCAATTGATGCCCGGAAAAAATACCATCGCCGCAAGACACGCGTGTTTTGCGAACGCAAAGGGCAAACGAAAGCAAGAAATACGCCCTTTATATCTACCTATTTGAAAATCAGGCACGGTCGTGGATATGGAGCGTTGAAAAATGGCTTTATGTCATCGCGAATCGAATTCCACTCCTTCAATTCGTTGCCAACAATTTATTGGGTATCAATTCCGTCGAGCTCATCACAATCGAATATTAATGCTGCGGTTGACATGGGGGCGTGTGTTCGTAATTAATTCCGTCGAGTGCAGTACTGTATTTTTTGAAGAAGAAGCGCGTTTCGGAATTGTCAGATATGCAAATCTTTGAGAAAAAAAAAAGAGGTGACTCACGGCTAAATCGTCGCC